ACCACATCATAAACACATAAAACATGAGGAGCGGTACGATCACGCCTTTGCCTTGCCACGGTCTCCTGAAGTACCTGAAACATTTTAAACCACAACTGTAAGCCCGAAAGCTTAGTGAGATACCCTAAAAATAGCAACCACATATACCATACACATAACATGCCATATCATAACAGAACATAGAACAGCCATGCACTTCGGGTCTACTATGTGATTGGTCCGCCGCACCGAGCCTTTAGTTCACCTGGTCCACCCTCCGAGTCTAGCCATATCCATCGAGTCTGCAGTGTGGTTGGTCTGCCCGCACCGGGCCTTCAACCCACCTGGTCCACTCTCTAAGTCTACAGTATGTCTGGTCCACCCGCACCTGGCCTTCAGTCGGCCGGGTCCACTCTCCGAGCCTTGGCACGTCTGGTCCACCCTCGTCGGGCCTATAGCCTATCTGGACCGCTCGTTGGGCCTTCAGAATATCCGGTCCACCCTGGGAATGTTAGCCTATAGCACAAAGTAGGACCCGCGTCAACCCAACCCCAGTCAACCAACCATGTGCACATAAACATATAACCACTCAACAATTAATCATCAATCAATCAATCTAGCAGATCACATACATAGCATACTCTAAACAAGATACCAAACTAATCAGTCACTAACATATATCATCCTAACTACCAGGATGCAAACATAGCAAAGCAAAGCACAACAAAAATACCCGGATTACAACCCGATAAAGGGCCGGTCTTGGTTCCTTAGATCCTGTCAATATAGTGAGGATAACTCACCTCGCAACTGCCGAAACTCTGAACTGAAAAGCAGACTCCCGAATCACTGACTCACCGAAAATCCCGAACTAGCCAACATAGCAGAAATAACCATTAGATCAATCATATTATCCTTCCAAGGGTAAATTGACCAGTTACCCTTAACTGAATCTGGTCCAAGACTAAGGTCCATAATAAATATGAAAGGGCCAACACTAGGTAACCTCTCAAGCCCACTAACGGCCCAATTTGCTACATTAGGCCCAATCCCTTAATAGGCCTCATCCTAAGCCCACAATATATTCCTTGGTCCATATAATATGATTTCTGATGGCCCACTAAGGCCCAAATACCCAAACATGCCCCAAACCGCGGCCCAAAAAAAATCATGATCCATACAGACAGATTATGCGGGGCGTAGTTCAACGTACGCTTAGCGTACCAGCTCTATGATGAGTCTGTTGGGTGTACCTGCACGTACGCTCAGCCTAATGCTCTGCTAAGTCATTTCCTCATTAAGTGCATACTACTCCTTTTTCTCCTTGCTTCCAAGCTTTAACCCACCAAAATGGGTTCTCCAAGGTCAAACACACCTAACAATGGAGGTGGGATGGCTCTCTAGGATTTCTGAGGGTAAGAGAGTGTCTATGGAGGCTAGGGTGAGAAGAATTATGTTTCTTTTATAGTGCTTAACCCAAAAATCAGGGTTTTGAGACTCTAGGCATACCCCTTGAACACCCGCATCCAACTGGCCCCATTATGTTGGGCGTACCCACGTGTGTCCCATCTTGCATGCATGGTCTGTTTCTTCACTTTTTCCATTATGGGCCATAAATGTCAATATCTTTAACGCATCATAACTCCTTCATTCTAGATCCGATTCTGTTAAACTTTATATCGACGGAAAGGTAGCGAGAAGATCTTCGCTTCTAGTAGCACAACCCGATTCGAAACCTCCCGAATAATAACCCATCGCTCATGAAAGACCGAAACACCCTTACTATTGATCTCGGGAACCCATCAATAGGTATTTTAAAAACGGGGTGTTACATTATGTGTATGCATGGTGCTATGAAGCCAAAACACCCAATACAAGCCAAAATGAAGGTCTAAGTCATAAAATGGAGTCATGGTTGAATAAAGATAGCAACTTTGAGCTTCTAAAGCTCAAGAGTGTCCAGATCTGAAGTCCTTTCATTCCTAAGTGTTCAAATGTTGGAATGACCTTGGAAATGGCCCAAAAATGACAACATACAAGCTAGGAAGGAGATCTAAGAGAATAACAACCAAGGTATAAGCTTTATACCTCTATGAAGACAAAAATGAGTCCTTAGCTCTGGATCTCCAACCTTCCTTCTGCAACTCGAAGCCATTGCTTCCTTTTTCTAGATTTAAATCACAAAAATGGCAAGAAATAGTTCAATATCACACAAGGTTGAGTAGGGGTGGAGACATGTTATGATGCTTAAATAGGGTGCAAACCCTAAAGATTAGGGTTTCCTCGTGACGGACCTACTCGTCGAGTCCAGGCTTACGATTCGTCGAGTAGATCACTTAAGACTCCGTCCAATCTGGCATCTACTCGACGAGTTAAGGCTACCAAATCATCATGTAGCTCTAAATATAAATACTAAATTAGATTAAATGCCTACCAGGAATTAGGCATTACATGATGTAACTGATTGGCATGATGGGTAGTCATATCGCCGAAAAAATAAAAGCATCTCTCGAATCTCACATTGACGTGTGTACAGGAAGTTAAGTCTTGGACATTATAACTAGCCTAGTAAACGCTATAGCTACTAGACTGGGGGGACTTGATAACGTACCCCCTAGCACGGTCCTGGAGTTGTGTTAACCACGCACTAAAGTTGCTTCATGGCAGACAGGTAGACCAAGCTACTCCCAGCGTAGCCACCTCGAAGAAATCTCGCGTCGCGTGTGTCGCTTCAGATCCAGACTTTTGCATGAAGGCCCAACCCTGCAGTGGGCACCTTCCACTCCGCGAAAAACCTAATGGCTCCAAGCAACAAGGAGTATGCTCAAAGCATTACCACCTGATCCAATCGCTAGCTCTGGTACAAGGAGGAGCATGGTTAGTAGAAGGTGTTAGTATAAAAGGCCTCCTTCGCCACCTTGAAGAGTAAGACGTTCCCTCTCAGTTTCAAACCCTACACTCTCAATTTACTTGCTGACTTGACCATCGAAGCATTTTCTCGGGACCTCCTCCTGAAAAACAATTGTCGACTTTCCGTTGTTGTGACCTCGCATGTCTTCCTAGAGCAATCAGAGTCACCGCATCAGAGAACCAGAGTATCAGGTCGCATCAATATATATATATATATATATATATATATATATATATATATATATATATATATATATATATATATATATATATAAGAGACGGTTTACTTGAGATTAAAAAAAATTAAAGATCTTGAGATTCAACCTCAGCCATGTATTTCTCATTTGCCACTCTAACACTCCAGCATACCGACAGGAGCATGGTATGGCTAATCATAAACGATTATATGGCAGAGAGGTATAATCATATATGTTTATACGTATACGCTTAATCATAAATAATTATACATATATGTATGTTCACAGATTAAGTAATCATATATGATTATAACAGTTGATAGCAGAAGAGATGGTGGTGACTGTGGTATAAGTGACGGAAGCGGCAGTAGTGGGGTCGACTGATAGTAGAGGTGGTGGTAGTAGTGGTAATGGTAACGGTTGTGGTTGTGGGGAAGGTGGTGGAGTTGAAAGGAACATTCGACATCACATAATCATTTATGACTTTAGCTGATCCGCTGCGTTGGTACGCCGAAAACGACGGATATTAATCATGTAGCTAAGATTGAATATCAAGATTTTTATTTTATTTCTAATCTTAACAGAATCTCTTTCTCTCTCTCTCTATATATATATATATATATATATATATATATATATATATATATATATATATATATATATATATATATATATATATATATATTCATTCGGCAGAGGTTTTTTTTTTTATCCATTTCAATGATGTTGAGATTAAATAGTAAATAACACTACTACTACTAATAATAATAATAATAATAATAATAATAATAATAATAATAATAATAATAATCTTCTCGAATATGCTATTAAAATTATAGGTTTGGGATATCGAACTTAGTGGTCCAGAAAATGGACATGATTTGTGGTCCGGCGGCGATAGAGTAACAATCACATTTTCAAATAATCCAAACAAACACAAAATTAAAAAAATAAACTATTAACATTAACAAATTATACCAAGTTTTCATATTCAAGCTTACACAAAGACGAGAACTAGACAAATATCCTTCTTAATAAATAAAAATAATTTTACTACATGTTATTTTCTCATTAACTTGGATACATGTAATTTTTTGGTATTTTTGAATAAATGTTTTTTCTATATGTCATTTTCTTATTGTTTATCTTTTTTTAATTAACACATCATATTTACACCTCAATTAATAATTGATTTATTTGAAAATAACCATTAAATTACAATATTACAACTTATATACTATTGAATATGTTTCCTTTTAAATTTTAAATTTCAATTTTAAATAAATTTTTATTTAAACTTTCATATTTAATTTTTTTTTATCCAACCCGTATAACATACGGATGTCACAACTAATTTGTTATTATATTAATAACTATTGTACTAGTGAAAAATACGGACTCTAATCCATTATTTCCAATAGTTAATATCCCGCTTCTATTTCTTGTTGACGCTTATACATGCTAGTGACAATAAAAACCACCATTCACAAAATTCTTCCCAAATTATTCCCAAATCCATGCAACTTTAGTTTTCAGTTTCTTTGTCCTGAAATGTTTTTTGAACTCTTTGATTTTTTATTAGTATCATCCGTTTACTTATTGAACTCACAGTCATAGATGAAACAAAATGACTTATATAGAATCACCATCTACATTCATATTTAAATTAGCAGGACAAATTAGATATATCTTTAGCTCATATATAACTAGTCAATATCTAATATCACATATGCATGGCTTTTTTCCACAATGTAAACCAACTCTTCCGTAATCTTTAATTCAAGTTGATTTAATAAGGATGCGTTTAACTCTTGACAAGAGTTAACTATATCTACGAACCATTTATAAATCCGTTTTTATAGAAATTAACATTTCCCTTTCTTTATCGTTATCACGCATAGAAATTAACATTTCCCTTTCTTTATCGTTATCACGCAGCCTAAATTGATAAGATAATAAATTGTTCAAACCTGAAAAATTAAAACACATTTACACCATATCTACACACCATGAAATATTAAACCTAAAGTTGTAAAAACCAACACATTTAACATTATATTTCATTCCCTTTTTCATCAAATTACAAGTCTAATAAGGAAATGAATGTGTTCTACATTTGGGCAAAACTAAGCCACGACCAAGAATTCTTGTATCTATGGCAATTTGCCCATTCTACTACTACTCTACCCATTAGGTGTCCCCCCCTAAATCAACCATTTGTGCTTCCAACAACTTGCTCCATTTGCCCACACAAAATTGTACCCATTATACCCTTCAACTTGTCTTATCCCAATTCAAGAATGGGCCATTTCCACTTGATATACATACATACATAGAATCTTCATCTTTTGCCCAACTTTCTCGATATGTACTTTACGCTTAAACAACAGTACAAAATACTGTCATCAAGTGCACATGGTGAACTCATCAACTCTTCTCACATCTGGAAGGGCTTGGGTGTGTACATGAACATGTCTTGTAAAGGGGAGAGTTGATAGTCATTGTAATATTGCGATGGTGTAGGGGTAAAAGCGTCATCTTGAAACGGGTCTATGTAATTGAATTGGAAATCATTTCTTCTTTTTGGGTCACTTTCTACCTCCCTTTCGTGTTCAGGGCTTGAATCCGTATGTAAAGTTGGAATCGATTCGGATGTGTCAAAGTGAAATACGTCGTTCGTTACGTGATGGAGTACGGTTGTCGACGGTGGTTGTAGCGGTGGTGGAGTAGGGGTATACGGTGTAATTTTGGGCTTCGTTTCCACTTCCATGTCGGAAAATTGATTATCGTTCACATAGTGCTTTTCGAGAGTACCTTTCTTGTTGTAGATTCGACATAGTACCCAATCATCTAACTGCAAAATGCAAAAAGAGGATCAGAATTTGATAAGTTTACTTTTTCGAGAAAAGTTACTAATTTTTTTGGAGTTTTTGGAGTTGATTATAATTTATACCCTGAGATTGTTGTTTCGTTTTCCGGCGGAGCGATCGACGTTGGCGAGACGATATTCGTGCATTATCCAATTGGTTTTCACGCCTCTGGGAGCTTTTCCGGCGTAGAACACCAACGCTTTCTTGATCCCAACCGGCTTCGGTTTTCCGATTGGTTTATCGGCTCCGGTGGCCTTCCAATAACCAGTTCCGGCGGCTCTATTGGGACGTGATCCGTTGGGATATTTCCTGTCTCTAGGTGAGAAGAAGTACCACTCCTTTTCTCCATACAAAGCCATATCTGTCGAAATCAATCCATAAACAAAAACGAATCCTCCATCAGATCCAAATCGCGAAAACAAACATCCATGATCGAAAGATGAATGAAGGACAAGGAGAATTTAAATTAAGTTACCAGGAAGCTGCCATGGATCGAACTTATACAGATCAATCTCTGCTATAATCGGAACATAAATCGGTTGAGATGCGCATTTTCGACATAGGTAATGCATAACCAGTTCGTCGTCCGTCGGATGGAATCTGAACCCCGGTGGCAACTCCAAATTATCGCAAGTCATTCTCTCACGAGATCTTTCACAGAATGATTTATCAGTAAACAGTAATCACTTCTTCTAAACCTCAATTGGTCTTCCTTTTTTCTTCAAATCTCCTGCTTCTGGTTCTGGTTCTGGTTCTCCTTCTTCTTCTTCAGCAGCAATATGATTAACAACCGAGAGAGATATATATAAACACGGAGGGGAGCACGTGGAGGATTGAATCTGGAACAACTTGAAAACGTGGCTTCGTGGAACGAGCATGAGAGAGAGAGAGAGAGAGAGAGAGAGAGAGAGAGAGAGTTGCTTGGATAAGAAGGCTTTGATTCGAGGTTGTTCCTGGGGTATTGAGAAACTGAGTATTGACCGCAGCCCTGAATTTCTTTCGCTTTCTGTGCAAACTGTAAAACAACAAAAAGTGTGCGAGGGGTGGATTGTGCGAATGAGGAGGTGACGCGTAGGTGGTTGGGCCCATCGACGGTGAGGGACGATGGTGTCACTGCGTTCGTCATGTAGTTTGGACGGATCCGGTGAGAGAGAAAAGTCGGCTGACACGAAGAGAGAATGGATAGGTGTCACTTTGACTCGTGTCTTGTTTTCGTCATCAACGAAGGTGGGTGCATTCATTCAAGTTCCAATAATTAGATATATTTTCTTTTGGTTTCATATTAGATCCCATCCTCTTCAAATCATTGGATATTTTTTGTTAAAATATTTTATATGCGTGTGAATCAAGATTTATATCATAATCTTAGAATCCGACTAACGATTACGATACTATGATCTTAACTTGATCCAATGTTATCATTTTAGTCTAAAATTCTATACCATACATGTGAGTCTAAAAAATTTGCTTTCACAATTTGAAATCAAGCATTGTAGCAAGAGGAAAAAAAAAGTCTCATTGAATATGTTATTTTATCCATTTATTTTGAATTAAATGTTACTCATACTATTATCTTTTAGCAAAATTATATAAGTAGTGTTAACAAAATGATCAACTTCAATCTTTATAATGAATTTTTAACATAGATGGTTTATGTTATTTTAAAATCTTACAAAAACGGTATATTTGGCTAAAAATGTTCAATTTTTCAATTAAATCTTATGTGAAATGTTACATTTGCCCTTCTTGCCATATAGACCATTTATGTAATTTTTTTATTTTTTTTATTTAATTTATTTATACTATATTTTTTAATTTAGATTTTTTTTTGACGTTTTGTTCGAATATATTGTTTAATATAATTCTTTTTTACATTTTTTCGGTTATATTTTTTGATATTTTGTTCGAATAATTTTTTCTAGTTTTTTTATCGTTTTGTTCAAATACATTTATTGAATTTTATGTTTGATGTTTGCTTCAAATATTTTTTTAAACTCAACATTTTTTATGTTTTTTTACATTTGTTTGTTTATACTTATCGGTTTCATGGTCACTATAAGTATAATTCATAATTTAATTCAAATGTTATTTTTTTCTTTGAATATGGATAAGGTTATATAATTATTAATTTTTTAATTCATATATTTAACTACATAACAGATATAAGGTTGTATAATTATTATTTTTATAAAGTTCTTAAAAAATATTTTTTGTAAAAACAATATAAATTTTTTTATTAAACATGAAATTATTAATATATATAGGCTAATTTGAATTCTAAACAGGTGTCAAGTTAAACATAGGTTAATCTGAAGTTGTATAACTCGAAAATGAATGTTATGTCTAAAAACAAAAAATAACTCATAAACATTACAATTAAGTTCAATTTGAAATGATATGGTCGATTTCGGCAAAGTTGTGAGGCGGGCACGTCAAAAAGTTTCATGGGACCTCTAAATCGTGGGGCTTGGATCCCATATAGGGGATATTTGTCAAGAAAAACTCGGGGTGGGTGGGGCAAGGTTATCTTCTGTTTTAATTTTGGGGGTGAGGACAGGGTGGTCGGGCCACTCTTGAACCCTCCATGTGGACCCCGTTAATATATTATATATATTATATATATTATTTATATAAACCAATAAACAATATCAATAATTTTGAACTTCCAAAATTCAACAAAAAATCATGTTTTTAAGTTGTTAATATAACGTTTTTGAGATGTGATAACATTTTTGTTTTTAACATATAAAATTTTGTTATAAATAACTATTTTTAACACAAAAAATAGCTTCTTTAATCCAAAAAACAATTTCTTTTAATCCAATAAAAAAATCCCAAAATCATTTGGGGCGGGGTGTAACATCCCATTTTCACAACCAAAATTTTCCATTTTATTTAAGTAGAGCTTACCATTTATAAATTCATTTTAAAGAAAACCGTTTAATCCAAATACATTTATTAAAACCGAAGTAATATTAACGTGCGGAATTTTCATTGTTGTTGATGAATGTATACAGTCACGCATTTGTCTTCCCATGACGACCAATGATACCTGAAACAATAAACAATTGAGTAAGCACAAAGTTTAGTTAGTTTTCCCCAAAAGACCCCATACTTTAAACATACAAGCATGCATCGGTTACACTCAGCCTTCGAGCTGGAATACCTAGAGTTTGTTGGCCTACTACCTCAACCCAACCACTCTTCCGGAGCCTTCGTGCCTATGGCTTATAGCCGACCTGCACAGGGTATCTTGGCCTACAACACAAAGTAGGACCACCTTAACGTACTAGTCCTCTCACAACACATAATACATGCAAATAGAAATCATACAGCTCAGTACCGTCTACTAGTCCTCTCACAGCACACAGTCCCACTACTAGCTAACCTCCATGAAATCCATAACCATAAATAAGTAGAGGTGAGATAGCCACCCGAACCTTGGTACAAGGTCTTCCTGCTACGAGGTTCCACTCTTTCCCACTTGAAATATGCTAGAATCTGACAACTTCACAATCCTTTGATACCCAGACTAACTTGAACTCCACCACTTGATCTAAACCACTGATATCAAAATACACAGAAGAATCTGAACCCACACAACATTCATAAATCCCAATACATATACAATCCAATGACAAAGATAATTAATCCATTCATAACAATAAATCAATTTCAAATGAGCTAAGATAATTCCATTCAACTGATCATCCAAGATTACAACTAAACTTCGAAATATAAGTAGAACACACAGATGAATACCATCACTACAATAATTGATTAAATAGAAGAACTGATAACTCAAGCATCGTCCCCCGAAACTCCCGTTGTCCCATGACGACCGTCGAGTAACCGCCAAGCTAGGGGTGTAGGATCCAACACCTCACCAAAACCAAGAAAGGGACAACGAGCTCTGATGTGGCCCTTTTGGCCGCAATAGAAACAAACATGCAAACTCCGCCTGCAATCCCTACCAAAATGACCTTCCTCACCACATCTGTGACATACAAAAGATCGGTACCTCCCCTCGGCTGATCCTGAATTCTAGCTGATGGATATGAACCGCTTTTTTATAGGCTGGGACTGAACCGAAGCCTGGCGTTTCTCCTTCATGTAGGTATCTATCTCAATATCTCGCCTCCTCACGACATCCTGAAGCTCGGCGAGGGTATTGCATTGCTGGGTAGACACAAATTGCCAAATATCCATCTTGACCATGCTAAAATACAGAGTCATCTGGGCCTAATCCGAAGCAGTGAGCTCAGGTCAGAATAAAGCCCTCTCATTGAACATCTTGGTGATCTTTGCCACCGACTCAGTTATCTGTCTCAGATCCAAATACTCTTGAGCCAATCGCTCTCGCTCCGTAAGATGAATACACTCTGCTCAGAAACATGTCTAGAAACTTCTCCCAAGTTACTGCAGCTCGCTCAGCCTGCGAAAACCCTGGGTCACAAACTCCCACCAATCTTTCACACCCCAGGGAAAAATATTGAGCACAAAATTCACCTTTTAGCCCTCGGGACATAAACACGTGAAGAAATAACCATCCACATCATAAATCCATCTCGAAGCCATTATCGGGTTCATGTTTTGTCTTAACTTTAGAGGTTTCGTATAACTGAAATCTCGGTACTGCATTGCTCTGCTTCCCTGAGGTCCTATAACGGTAACGGCTACTATCGCTGCGGCAATAGCTACCTGCAGAACGACGGCATAGCATCGGTCAAACTCCTCGATCAACGCGGTCTTGACTGACCGAAATAGCTTTAAAATCGCCTCCCTAATTACATCTACCACCTCAGCAGCAATGATCCCGCATATCTCCTCCTTACTCATACCTGCTCTCCTGGTGCCACCAACACCTAATCATGAACCTCCAAAAGCCCGATTCGTTTATGCTTTGTTTTAAAATCAGAGTAATCTTTTAAAGAAAACAGTTGTGGAATTTGTTCTCAAAACAAAATGTGATAAGAATTTATCAAAGCGTTTCTTTAAAGAAATGTATTTTCATTAAATAACAAAATCTCGGGACGTCATATTCCAATACATACCAAAAGCATAAACAGTATAACTACTGATCTATAATCCAAAATCTCTCGTCAAGTCCACCAACTTATACTCTTGTGCCATTACCTGTAATGCAAAGAAAACTGAGTGGTTCAGGCTTGAGAGCCTAGTGAGCATATAGGGTTTTCAACCCACAATGTTATATTATATTATATTATATATATATATATATATATATATATATATATATATATATATATTAGAACTCACAAACATATACAATTTCACTATATACAAGCAACTCTTATCCCACCCCATCGATCCTCACAACAACATGATCTAAACTCTCGTATCTAAAACTAACCTTTTCACCTGATCCATACTCACGGATCTAAAACTAACCTTTTACCCTGATCCATACTCCCGGATCTAAAACTACCTGATCCATACTCAAGGATCTAAAACCAACATTTTTCCCTGATCCATACTCACGGATCTAAAACTAACCTTTTCCCCTAATCCATACTCCCGGATCAATAATTTTACCCAATCCATACTCCCGGAATAGGGACAATTAACTATACCTTATGTTGGATATTATTCCTTTTATATATCAGCTCAGATACCGATTTGTTGGAAATATAACAATCTGATCACCACAACAAAAGGCTTGGTTACCAGTTACTGTGTGATAGATATATTAGTTTAAGATATAAGATATATATATATATATATATATATATATATATATATATATATATATATATAAGAATAATAATTGCGGAATAAGTATAAATATGAAAGCTGTAAATGACTGAAAGCTATAATAATATAAATGACTGTATTTAAATGACGTAAAGCTATAAATAATATAAATGACTGTATTTAAATGACATAAAGCTATAAATAATATAAATGACTATATTTAAATGACATAAAGCTATAATAAAGTATATAAATATATATCAAGTAGGTTCGTCAATAAATTGACTGAACTGGACTCATGGAGCGACTGGTCGATATTTTTCTTTGAATGGACTGGTCGATATTGGGACTCTTGGAGCGACTGGTCGATATTTGTTCTTTGAATGGACTGGTCGATATTGGGACTCTTGGAGCGACTGGTCGATATTTGTTCAAAGATCAATCCGGCATTGGATAAGTAACAAAAAGTTCATTTAAAGCTCGATTTTATGTAAAACAAGTGTTTACAAAAGGGTACAAAATACATGGGTTTATGTATTTGTAGTTGAAGTATTTTTGGGTAAAAACATGCACACGGGTCGTGTAAGATAAGGTACAAGTGACACGGGTCGTGTAGGAGGATTTTTTTGGAGGGTTTTCTTGATGAATGATGCTGACACGGGGCGTGTTGATTTAGCCTTGCTGAACACGGGGCGTGTTCATGATGTGATGCTGACACGGGGCGTGTTGATTTAGCCTTGCTGAACACGGGGCGTGTTGAGGTTCAGAAGTATGAAGAAGGCAATCAGAGGGCAACACGGGGCGTGTTGATTTTGCCTTGGTTTTTAACACGGGGCGTGTTCGTGT